AAGGGATGACAGATCAGGTGATAGAGTCCTCTTAGGGGAGGAAAAATGTATCTCCTGGCAAAATAAAATGCTTCTTCTCATGAAATAAGACCATTAGAACTCATACTTTCTCTTACCCTGTTTGCTATGATTGCTGATATTTTGGTTCAAATAATAGAGCCTGGATTTCTCTTTATAACTACTTCTGTCTCTTTCAGCTGCTTATCTAACTTATTCTTTGATTGGATTGGTCCTTGAGACGTATTCAGATAATGATTTTTAAGTAGCCCAATAACACACCATTGCTTTCTTATTCTGATGAGTGAAACATTCATCTAATGTTTATAAACAAGCAAACCTTGTGTATAGTAACATATTTCATCTGTTGTTCATAACTTTGAAAACCTGCCGTTACTAATGCAGTGCTTCATTGTTTACCAATCCCAGGATTAAAGTAACTTTCTGTCTTTTGTTCAGTAAACATTTATTAATCACCTATTGCATGTGAGACATTGTGCTTCCTTGAGTTTAGACAGGTTGAATTTGATGCTAATGGGATTTATAAGTATAATATCCAATAGACTCTTAGATGCATGTTAAGAGAAATTTAGACTCTACTAGATATGTTTATTATATATTAATACAGTTGTTTGCACAAGAAACATTCAAATATTTAACTTCATTACTATTCAAAGAGATGCAGATTAATACAGGAAGAGATGCTCTTCAATACCCATTGAATGGTCTAATTTAAAAAATACTCAGAGCTAGCAGATTGTGGTCCAACTAGGATTCACATAGGCCGCTGGTAGAGATATAAATTGGTTTCAGTATTTTGCAAAGCAATATAGCCATACATATTAAATACAAGGACTTGTGTGATACCCTTTGATTTAACAATCCCACTCTAGAAAATTTATGTAAAAAATATGAGCCAAAAGGAGAAAAGAAAATCTCTGCATCTCTAGAAGAAGAAAAGGAGCTGAGAGTTGCTAAATGGTTTCTTTGCTAATACTTGAAACTCATCATCTCGGTTAATCCTCACAGCAGCCCTTTGAAGTGTCCCCACTTTATAGGCAAGGAAACAGGGCTCAGATGGATTAGAAATTTGTCAGTCTCATAAAACTTTTAAGTGGCAGAGTTTGCACTTAAATTAGGCATCTGCCTAACTCAGACTAATTATGCCAGAATAGAAAAATAGTTAAAATGTATAAAAGTATGGGAAGGAACAGTATAAAACTTTGTAGATTCATTATAATTATTAAGAACTTGTACATGGGCTAAGTAAGAGACATGAAATGTTTAATTGGGGGCAGATTTTATTTAAATAAGTGTATTGAAATTGCCATAATCTTTTTGAGTTTTTAAAAATTGTTGTTTTTTTGTGAAAAGAATATAATTAACATATTTTGACTGTATTTTCAAATGTATCATTCATGCACCTACATACGTCCAAAAGGTATGTGAGCTGTTACATCACGTCCAGGGGCACCCTCCCTTCTGTCCTCATTGCCTGCCCCTGAAAACTCTCCCTTCAGGGTTCATCACCAGCAAAGTCCCTATATCCTTAAACTCTTCTCTGAAATTACTTTCATCTTGTTAAATCGAAACCTGGAGAGCCCCTGAAAGCCTAGCTCTCCTGAAGCCCTCGGGGGGAGAGGGGGCAGCTCTCATTTTTTGCTCCAAAGTTGAGGGGGGGGTAATTGGTCTCTGTGCTCTTCATTACATGCTTGACCATTCATTTCACTTCAGTCCACCCTAAAAATCGCTCAGCTTTAAGTCTCTTGTCATCAAGACTGGATCACTCACCACCCCATCGTTGTTGTAGTCATCTGCCAAGCTTATGGTTCCTCCTTCCTTTCTCCATCATTTTCACTCCTGGCTCACCACCATCCTCTGCAGCAGCACTTCTCTTCTCATGCCTACGTGTATGATTCTTGTCACACGCCTGGCTTCTCAGTCCCTGTAGCTTCTCACCACCTCAGCCTTACCGCCCTTGCTTGCCCCCTAGATCGCACCGTCACCGAAACCTGCACCTTCCTTTGTCCCCACCGCACACTGCCACTCTCCGACCGCTGTCCTCTGCCTGGCTCTCGAGCTCACTCCCTGCCGGGCACAGAAATCAACACCATCAGAACCCGCCATCCATTATCCCACTATTCCTTTCCTCCTCTCCGCCCCTCTCAGGATGTCGGCCCAGGTCAAGTTCCACGGACCTTCGTCATAGCCACTCCATTGCTTACGTGCCGACTCCTGTGCCCTCTCTCATTTCTCATGCTCACTTGGCGGTTTCACCATCCTGGCTGATTCCAAATCCCTGCCTGCTCCATGCCAGCCCCTGTGGATCCGACATTAACTGGAGAAAAACACAAAACGGTACTGTTTGATTTCACTTTTCATTCATGACCATGAACCTCAAGTGGGAACTTACGGCTGCCCGGCGGTGGTATTACAGCACCCACTCTCAGTGGGCTTTTTACTGCCTTCTGCTCTTGCTTTAATACTCCAGCACCTCCTCTCTCAGCCTTATTCTCGACTGAGGCCTTCGTTCTGACTTTCGCTGGAAATGTTGAAGCAAAAAAGACAGCTTCCGCCAGCTGCCACTGAACTTGTCACAGATGAACTGCTGTTGAGGGCCAGCCTTCCCCTCCGCTGTCCCCGCCTACGCAAGGATATGCTCCAGTGACTCTCATCATCTGTTGGTCATTCCCATCGGCATCCATCATATTAGGAAAAACAAAAGCTCGCCTGCCCTACATCCCAATCCACTTCCTCCCTTTAGCGACCACTCCATCTCTCCTCTCCCCTCCACAGCAGAACTCCCCAAAACATCATCTGGTGTCCAGTCTTCTTATTCCCAGTTCTCCTTTGTCAGTCTCTCTTAAATCTAGTTCAGTCAGGCTTTTGGCCCAGCTATTCCAGTGCTTGTGTCCAAGTCCTCAGTCAAGTACAAGCTGCTAAATGGAAGAGTTCTCAGCCCTCGTGTCACAGTCCTGTCGGCAGCATTTGGCATCGCCCTCAGCCCTCGCTGTAATCCCCTGGCTCCTAGAATGCCCCCTGGCGGAGTTCCCTTTTACTCCCCTGGCCAGCCCTTCGGTCTCCCGGGACTCAAACCTTAGACCTCGGCCTGTACCTAAGCCCAGGCGTCATCCTCATTAAAGGGCCGTGACTTTCAGTATCATCCACGTGCTGATGACTCCCAGATTTATTGTTTCCAGCCAGACGTTTCTCCTGCCTTCCACACTTACATGTCCGTCTAAGCCCTTTGGGGATAGCTCCGTTTACATGTCTAATAGATGTCTCAGACTTACCCCGTCCGGACTGGACGCCTGATCCTGCCCCCACCCCTCCAACCCCCCCTGCCTAAGCTCGCGGCGGCTCCGTTCAGATTCCCCACACTTTCCCACTGCTTCCAAACCCCTGCATCTTCACCTGGATTGTTGCCGGAGCCCCCTAACTCGCCTTCTGTGCCTTGCATCTTTATAGTCTTTTCAGCATGGCAACCGGGGCGATCCTCCTGTAAGGTCGATTAGATTCCCTCTTCTCCCCCCGTGCCTCCCCATTCCACTCAGATGAAGAGCTACAATTCTTCAAATGTGTACACAACCTGACCACCTGTTACTTCTCTGACTTTCTTTTTCTTTTTTCTTACTTTTTCCCACCCACTCCGGCCACACAGGCAGCTTGCCAAGCAGGCACCCACCCATCCGCCCGAGGGCCTTTGCAGAGGCCATTGCCTGCGTCAGTAATTCTGAGAACTCAGCTCCCAGCTACATCAAAGGTCACCTCAGCTGCACCTACTCTCCATCCCCTTCGCTTTGCCCTATTTTTAACAGCACTTTTAGACTTCTAACATAGTATATACTCTACTCGTTTATTATATTTATCATCTGTCTCCCACTACAGTGTAATCTCCAGGAGGACAGAGATTTTTACCTGGTCTATTTATTATTTCCAGCATTTAAAATAATGCCTCCACCCAATAAATGCTAAAAATAAATGTGTTGAGACTGTGAATGAAAGTGTCCCTGTTTCTGCCTAACGCCTTATACACACATGCTGAGAGATCTGCCTCAGAATAGCTTTTAATTCCTTTTCAGGTTTCTCAAGTGTTATATTGCAAACAGCATTCAGAAAAAGACTACAGAGAATCGCTATGTCATTGACTTGATTGTATATGGCCTTTTATTCGAAACTGAAAACAACTCCTAGAATGTAGCAGTATCATAAATATTGAAAATGTATAAACAACATAATAGATCCTTGACATTTTTAGGAATATGTTCAAAGTTCTTCGAAAATCCCCTAAATTTTGGATACCACGATAGTGCAGTCTCCTCTCACGAATTTCACACATGGCAGTGAAAATGAAAGAAGGAAGCCACTTGTTGCTGCAGATGCCAAGTGGCTCATTCATTAAAAGGAGTCTCACCCCCTTCCCTCCCATCCGGCTCCTCTGAGCACAGGCTCCTTGCTTGCGTCACAAATTATAGCAGCTTGGGAGGCTTCAGCATCACCTACGTAGTGTTGAAACCAGGAATATCTGTGAAACCTGAGGGTCCTCAAGATTCTTTTATTCTATTTGCAGATTTTTAGAACACTAATTTTAAAAATTAGTCCCTCGAGCCACTTGGCCTTGGGTTTAGACTATAACGTGTATGGGTATTATTGCCAGTAAATGACAACCTGACTTATTGTTACAAACAACATGAGCAACACAGAACAAATTTTTACTTTGAGGTCAAATTACAAGTGAGCATCCATTCAGTTTGATTTTGGTCCTCTGGTAATACACTCTGAATATAAGCAAAGAAAAAAGGGGGAAAAATACATGTCTGTTTTCATTTTTAAGCTCATGTTTAAAAAAGCCTTCAGCCATGGTAACTTTTTTTTTTTTTTAACAGTAATGATTAGAAGCCTTGGACGAGAAGAGTGGGAGTAAGGAAAGGGGATGCTGTCGCCACGGTGACAGCTGTCCGGCGTAAACACCTCACATCTCTTCCATTTATCATGTATTTTAGGCCAATTCAAGCTGCTGGAACAAGACCGAGATATAAAGGAGCCAGTGCAGTATTTCAACAGCGTGGAGGAAGTGGCTAAAGCATTTCCTGAGCGCGTGTACGTCATGGAGGAAATAACATTCAACGTGAAGGTAGCTCTAGAAGATCCAAATATTTATCCTCACTAAAATGATTTAACTTTCAGGTCGTTACATACGCAGAAAGTGCCCATCTGGGCCTCCTAGGAAAGATCCATCTACCTAATGTGTAGGTGTCAGTGGCCAAAACTGGTCTTTTAAGAGTTTCATGTGCTGTAGCTGACCTGATGCCCAGACAGGTAACTGTGCTTAATTAGCATTGTCTTTTGCTAGGATAACTGCTAAGGCAGATCAGAAGTTTGTCTGTGTGTGTGTGTGTGTGTGTGTGTGTGTTTTTAATTTGGACTTTATTTCCTAATATGGAACAGTTGTTTGGCCAGATCTTCTATGAGGCTGGATACTCCACTTGTAGGAGCAGGCAAAAGGCATATGAAGGATCTAATACCGGACTCGTAGTTAAAGAAAGAGAGAGACTTCCAGAGCATAGCCTGAGATCAGCATATATTCATTCCACTTTTTATAGACTCTGTATCAGCATACATAGGGAAAATCAATGTATAGAATGTTGCCAATAGGTATTAAATGATCCTTGTTTATCAGAGAAAAGCTCAATAGTGTTTCCTGTGCTACGTTAGTTTTGTCTTCGCAAAGGGACCAGCCAGAGAAGCAATGCCACCAGCTGGGTTCAACCTTACTGCCTGCAAGTCCGCTGTATTTTCTTAACAACATCCACAATTACACTAAGTGTTCACATTGAAAAGATTTTCTGTTTAACCTCATTTCAGCAAGAAGGCCAACTGAGTCACATTCCCTGAACATGTCGAGATTCAGAGGGCAAGAATCATTTTCCTTAGAAATTTACTGTATGTGAAAAACAGACTGCATCCATGGTATTGTATTCCAACAGTGCAACAGTGTCTTTGTGGGTGAATCTCTCCACCCACCCTCCCCAGGAAAGCAGGGAATGCTCAAGACAGCATCCGTATTGGAGAAGTGGTCCTGAACATTTAATTGGCTAAGCTAAGAAGTCATTCTCTCCTCCAGTTCTAAAATACAGCTGCTATAGTCTACTTTCTTTAATTTTATTATTAAAATGGGTGATATTTTTGTACTTTGTAAGACTTTTTACTAAACAAATTGTGCTTATATTAAAATATATTTATAATTTTCAGCCATATAAGTGGCCCAGTCAAGACAATTTGTATTCATTTACATTGAAGATTTGTGAGAACACATTCATTTTTAAACTTACCAAGAGTCGTTGGCCAGAGGTTTAATCAAATCCTATTCCATTAGTGTCTTGATAGGATTTAAATTAGTCTTGTTTGCACACTTATTTAAAAATAAAGACATTCCTTTTTTTAAAAAATTCAATAAGGGTGTCTTTCAAAGATGCCTTGATGTTTAAAATTATCTACCTGATTGCCCCATCATTGATTAACTGTGTGAAATGAATTAATATATGTTAAGTATTTAACTCTTTAACCAGCAAATATATTTTGAGCACCTACTGCATGCTCCACACTGTTCTAGGCTCTGGAGATAAGTAATTCAAGTCCCTGCCTCCCAGGAGATTATAATCTATTGGAGTGGCAAACAATAAATAAACAAGTACAAATAGGGCCTCCAAATAATGAGGTTGAGAAGACAGTTGTATGTACAAGTCTGAGCTTGGGGCAGGGTCTGAGCTTGGGGTATGTATTTGTGGCTCATCAGCTCCTAGATGGCATTTGAAACCATGGGGTTGGTTGAGTTCACCTACATAAGTGGTTCTTAACCACAGGTGATTTTTGCCCCCCCAGGGGACATTTCACAATGTCTGGATACAATTTTGATGGGCACAGCTTAGGGGGGTTGGCGTGCAGGGGCTGCTGGCATCTAGCAAGAAAAAGACAGGGGTGCTGCTAAACAGCCTACAATGCACAGGACAGCCCCATGGCAAAGAATGATCGGGCACAGAATGCCAGTAGTGCCGAGGCTGAGAAACTCTGACCTAGAGGCTAAATGAAGAAGAGAGGACTGAGCTCTGGAACATGCCACCACTGGGGTCTAGAGGAATGATCGAAATGAGTAGCCCAGAGATTTAAAGATGATGAAACACGTAGAGGTCCCAGAAGCCAAATGGCAAAAGTGTTTCAAATAGGGATGGTCACCTGTGTCAAATTCTACTTAGTGATTGAATTAGGTAAGGACTGGGAATGAACAGTTAAATTTAGCAAACTGGAAGCCTTCGACAGTCTTGACAGGAAGGAAATAAATCAGCCCTGAGACCCAGAAAGTAAGTTAACCAGGGAAGTATATAGTAGGGTGGTCCCAGAGTTTGGTCAAGGTAAATTTCAAGTGAGATTACTTAGTACCAACCTTTTACTCTTCCAGCCATCTTCAGCTGCGTGGATGCAGGTATAGACACAGTTGGGGCTCTACCAGATAAGCGTAACAGAGATCAGCAAAGGGACAGGTGAAGTGTGCCCTAGAGTGACAAGTAGCATTGAGCGTAGACTCCTCACTGGGTGAGGAAGTATGAATACAAATATGAACCCAGTGAAAATTGGAGATCCTGATGGGATTAAGGAACTTTGAAATGGATATGTTTAAGAAAGTGAGGTGCCAAATAGGAGTGCTGGTAGAATGTAAAATGCTTGAAACTGAACTTTAGGCAGTAATATAGGAAATGACAGGAGTACATGTTTTTTTTCAAATCTAAGGATGTAATTTATGTGAGCAACTGAGAAGATAAGAACAGAAAATGGAAGATAAAAAGGCTAAAAAAACAAAAAACTAAAAAAACATGAAAGAATACATGGGCTGGACACCTCTCTCGGATCGTGTATATACATATCCTCCAACTTCTCCAAGCTAATGGCATTTGATATTTTCAGAACTGTGGTTCTAAACGTGCCTCTTAGACATGTTTTCCTTTATCCATTCAGTTTTTGGTTTCCATGGTGAGGATTTTTATTTTGTATATCTGCTTTCCTGCGTATTTGTTTTTAACTATAATAGGCATTTTCTTTCTAATTATCTTTTAGCTTTTTCATCAGCCATCTCTATCCTCATGTTTACTTCCAAAGCCAGAAGATATCCTATTTCTTTTTTTCCCTCATTTTTAAATCATTTTTATTTTTCAATTACAGTTGACATACCTTATTATATTAGTTACAGGTGAACACTCCAGTGATTAGACATTACATAACTTTCTAAGTGATCATCCCAATAAATCTAGCAACCACCTGACACCATACATAGTTTTTACAATGTTATTTACTATATTCCCTATGCTGTAATTTACATCCCCATGACTATTCTGTAACAACCAATTTGTACTTCTTAATGCCTTCACCATTTTCACCCATCCCCCAATACCCCTCCCATCTGGCAACTGTCAAATTGTTCTCTATCTGTGAGTCTGTTTCTTTTCTGCTTATTTATTTTGTTTTTTAAATTCAATTGTTGAAAGATATGTATTTCTTGCGATTTTATTCTTATTTTTTATCTTTTTCCCTTTTCTTCTTCTTCTTCTTAAAGAAGACCCTTTAACATTTCATGTCACACTGGTTTGCTGGTGATGAACTCCCTTAGCTTTTTCTTGTCCTGGAAGCTCTTTATTGCCCTTCGATTCTAAATGATAGCTTTGCTGGGTAGAGTAATCTTGGTTGTAGGTCCTTGCTTTTCATCACTGAGTATTTCTTGCCAGTCCCTTCTGGTCTGCAAAGTTTCTGTTAAGAAATCAGGTGATAGTCTTATGGGAGCTCACTTGTAGGTAACTAACTGCTTTTCTCATGCTGCTTTCAAGATTCTTCCTTTGTCTTTAACCTTTGGTGTTTTAATTATGATGTGTCTTGGTGTGGGCCTGTTTGGGTTCATCTTGTTTGGGATTGTGCTTCCTGGACTTGTATGTCTGTTTCCTTCACCAGGTTAGGGAAGTTTTCTGTCATTTTTTTTCTCCTCAAAGACATTTATTTATTTCATAATTACTGATTACAGAACANCCTTATTATATTAGTTACAGGTGAACACTCCAGTGATTAGACATTACATAACTTTCTAAGTGATCATCCCAATAAATCTAGCAACCACCTGACACCATACATAGTTTTTACAATGTTATTTACTATATTCCCTATGCTGTAATTTACATCCCCATGACTATTCTGTAACAACCAATTTGTACTTCTTAATGCCTTCACCATTTTCACCCATCCCCCAATACCCCTCCCATCTGGCAACTGTCAAATTGTTCTCTATCTGTGAGTCTGTTTCTTTTCTGCTTATTTATTTTGTTTTTTAAATTCAATTGTTGAAAGATATGTATTTCTTGCGATTTTATTCTTATTTTTTATCTTTTTCCCTTTTCTTCTTCTTCTTCTTAAAGAAGACCCTTTAACATTTCATGTCACACTGGTTTGCTGGTGATGAACTCCCTTAGCTTTTTCTTGTCCTGGAAGCTCTTTATTGCCCTTCGATTCTAAATGATAGCTTTGCTGGGTAGAGTAATCTTGGTTGTAGGTCCTTGCTTTTCATCACTGAGTATTTCTTGCCAGTCCCTTCTGGTCTGCAAAGTTTCTGTTAAGAAATCAGGTGATAGTCTTATGGGAGCTCACTTGTAGGTAACTAACTGCTTTTCTCATGCTGCTTTCAAGATTCTTCCTTTGTCTTTAACCTTTGGTGTTTTAATTATGATGTGTCTTGGTGTGGGCCTGTTTGGGTTCATCTTGTTTGGGATTGTGCTTCCTGGACTTGTATGTCTGTTTCCTTCACCAGGTTAGGGAAGTTTTCTGTCATTTTTTTTCTCCTCAAAGACATTTATTTATTTCATAATTACTGATTACAGAACAAAAACTCTCAAAAATATTTATGTTGCTACTCTCCAAAAAAAAAATGATAGGACAAGAGTTTAATTTAATGACATATAGGAGATTTTCCTAGTAACTTTTCCTGCCATATATATATCATTATTTGCATCTCTAGGTGATTAAAAGGAGGTTGTACATTTAAAAAGAGATGGGTCTGCATAAATGTGAGAGTTATTCATAAAATAATAATAGTAAATGTTT